GCTCCTGGTATCATGTGGGATGCTTCCAGGATGCTATTGATCTTACAGTGCGCAGGACAGCCCCCACGACGAAGAGTTATCTGGCCCCCAAATGTCAGTAGAACCCAAGTCGAGAAACTCCAGAACCCTTTCGGGGGTCCAGAGAGTCAAAACTGATTGAATCACAATAGTAATACACTATTGATCTTTTTCACCTTCATTCTTTCGCAAGTGTACCGTGGAGTGGCGTTTTCCAGGGGCTACATGACGTGTGATATTGACTCTCTGTTGAGCAAATGCAGAAACAGATCTGAGAACCATCTGTCTTCTATTACTTCAGATGGTAAAGAGATTTGAGAAAATGTAAAACAATGGTTCTCTTCTCACTAATTTTTTTGTTTGTTTTGGAAAATATAATTATTTCTCATTAAAAATACGTTAACGTATAATGGGTTTAGTAGTAGTTTTAAATGAAGAAATCTTTACATTTTTGTTTTATTCCATACAGTAAATATTGAATAGCTGTAGCCCATAAAACCAAAGCTTTATGGAGGGCATTGAAATTTTTTACAGGTGTAAAGGAGTTGAGACCCAAAGTATGACCACTGGTCTGGAGAATAGCTGATTTTTTAAATGTCTATGAAATATGAAATCTGTGAGAAGTGTAGTTATGTATAGTCTGTCGTAAGTGAAGGCTTCCATTATTTCACAAACCTTTATTGAAACCTTCTCTCTGCCCCGACTCTATGCTGGGATCTGGGGACACAGTGATCAATAAAATAGAGTTTCTGTCTTCAAGGAGATGTCAGGTCACATTAATTGTGATTATTTTTTAAGTTCTGTAATAGGGGTATTTTCAAAGTGTGATGGGATTACAGTGGAAAGCGCAGTGTTAACAGAATTGAGCATCATGTCACACTTTGTTCAGATGAGAAAGATGGCCGTTTTCATTTCTGCCATAGACGGACAGCCCATTTTTGACTCCCTGAGTTTCTCCCAAACCCCTCATCCCGCCAAAGATAAGAATTGCTTCTATCAATTTGTCATCAGTGGCTTGAAGTCAGAAACTGCAACTAATTTCTATGCTTTTGGCCCCTGTTGTAGTGACCGTACTGGCGATATTCAATGAACTGCATGCAGACGTGGACCTTTATGCGCTTCTGTTTGGAGAAAGCGTCCTAAATGATGCTGTTGCCATTGTGCTGTCCTCGTAAGTGACAATCTCTCTGTCTGGGGAGAGAGCCCGTGGCCTCCTGGATGCTCTGGGTGAAAATCAGAGGCCCGTCTTAAAAGCTTTATATATTGAATGGGGTGTTTTTCTGAATGAGGTTGATTGACTTTGTTGGAAAGTTACGTTGCTTTGTCTAGTCGGCCGTGATCTGAAAGCCGAACCCAGCATGACATGGTGACTGCAGATCCAATTAAATGAATATACCTTGGAGAGTGCTCGGCAGAGTGCAGATACCTATGTTTGTTGGTGTATTTAGGTACCGTGGTGTAAAACTAGCCCAGCATCTTTTAACTCTCTCTTTTTAAACTCCAGGTCTATTGTTGCCTACCAGCCAGCTGGGCTGAACACTCACGCCTTTGATGCTGCTGCCTTTTTTAAGTCAGTTGGCATTTTCCTGGGTATATTTAGTGGTTCTTTCACCATGGGAGCTGTGACTGGTGTTGTGACTGCTCTAATATCCTTTTTGAAGCTTCCACCCCTGCCCGAGTATGCTGATGTGGCATTACACTTGTGGAAAGAAAGTTCTCAATTCTTCCTTTCAGAAGTGAATCTTGTGTTAATTGTTCCACTGGGGGTGGGGAGCTCCTGAAATGTCACCCTTTGGTGGGACATGACCATCGATGACCTAGCTGAGAGGCTGAGAAAATGCTTGAGAATGTAACTCTCAGCTTAGCTGTGTCCTCACCTTTGGATTTTCTCCCCTTCCTTCTATGAACCAGTTGGAGATGGGAGCTCAGGGGGAGCATCTGTTTTAAGGCGTAAGGGAGGGGCAAGGAGAGTGAAAGAGCCAGGAGGAGGCTGGGAATCCGGGACCACCTCTCAGGGGGCAGGGAGGAAGCAGGCTGTGAAGTACTTTAACCCCAGCCTTGCTGCAGCTGTCCGCTGTTCTGGGCCATCCGGGGCTACCATGGCCGTAACTAGCCACGGACCATCTGTAGGAGTTACAGCAAGGTGGCCTTCCTTAAGTGAAGGACTGTAGAATATTTAGTTAAAAACCAACCAACCAACATAAAAACAAAGTGTGGAGTGAGCAGGCAACCCTTCCACAGGTGTGCTGAGTGCTTCATCTGAGCTTTTTGCAGTGGCCTTTAGATCACCGCTGTCCAAAACAGATGTAGTTCGAGACCCAGATAGGAGCCACAGCATTTCAGCCTGCAATCAATATGCAAATTATTAACAAAGCTTATTATACAAATTATTAATGAGATGCTATGCATTCAGTTGTGGTCCTAAATCTTTGAAACGTGGTGTGTGTCTTGCTCTCACAGCACGTCTCAGTTCAGACTAGCCACATTAGCAGTGTTCGGTAGCCACATGTGGCTAGCTGCTACCATGCCGGACTACACAGATTTAGACTGCTTTCTTTGTAAAGGCCCTTGTGATGCCCTGGGGAGTCATATTGCTGAGTGAAACCGCTCATGAGGTGATTCCGTGCTGGCCCACCGTGGAATGGCAGTGTTAGGATGGGGCCCAAAGGTGACACCGGCACCTTGTAGTTGCCCTTGGGTTGCACATTTCTTCCTTCCTTCCTTCCTTTCTTTCTCACGCATTGATTAGGCACCTGCTGTGGACTCAGGCCTTAGTAGCGCGCAGGGGTCAGAGTCTTACCGCCTGGTCTTCCCGGGCCTGCCCGAGGCGCTCCCAGCGCTGCCAGAGCTAACCTGCCAGTCACACCTTCGGCAAAATTCACACACCGTACAATTCACCCATTTGCAGTATATAATTCAGTGGCTTTTGGTATATTACATTATAATTTTTTTAAATTGTGGTAAAATATCTACAACGTAAAATTTGCCATTTTAACCATTCTAAGTGTACAATTCAGTGGCACTGGGGACATTCACAGTGTTGTGTAACCATCCGCACTGTCTAGTTCCAGGGCCTTTCTCATCATCCCCAACAGAAGCTATGTTCTCCTGCCTCACCCCTCCTCCCCATCCTTGGTAACCTCTGTTCTACCAGAAAGCTTCATTTTCTTTGCTTAAAAAACCCAGCATCGGCCCTTGGGGCCGCAGAGGAAGAGGCGAGGGGAAAGCCCGAGGGCGGGGGTCCCGGGCTCACAGAGCGCGGTTCTCCGCGCGAGCCTAATGCTTGTTGCTGGAGCCAGTTCCTTGACGGGGCGGACGTGACCAAATTCACCAAGCTGCACTGCTTCCCCCTGCTGGAGACCGCGCTCTTCTTCCTGATGTCCTGGAGCACGTTCCTCTTGGCAGAAGCCTGCGGGTTTACAGGTGCGTTTCCCCACACTGTGTGGGAGCTGCCAGGTGGGAAGGAGGAGCTCTGGAGGGCAGGGAAGAATTCTCAAACAGCAGCTGCCCCGAGTTGATCAACCGCTCACAGAGGATCCACAGGGAGGACTGCTGAGCAAGGCTGGTGTCCTGTCTTATGAATTACTGAGTTTCCCAAAGCTCCATCTTTTCTGAGGCTAAACTTGATTGTTTGAAACTGAGTTATATCTGTGAGTTCTCATCCTAACTATATAAGTAGATGCTCCGCTGCGGAAGTCACTAAATGCATTAACACCTTGTTTGCATCCTTCCCTGGACTGCTACATTGTTTTACAAACAGTAGCAATAGCAAGCAAAACGTGTATCCTTTTAAAGGTAATTTGGCATCTACTCAGATGAGTGTGAGCACAATTTTTTCCTTCTTTTGTCTCCGGTCTGTTTAATCATTGCTTTTCAAGACCATGTTTTTAATGGTCCCAGCTTCATAGATAGTTAATGTGAGGGATCATGTGGCTTTAGTTCTTCATATTCTCTCCTTAAAAAAAATGGCTGATTTTTTTCCATTAGAAAACTCAAGTACAATTACTATCCATAATCCAGGTGATTAGGAAGTCCTTTGATCATCTTTTCAGAATACTGCAGCATAGTTTTGTATGCAGCATTAGAAAATGTCCCACCTCGTTTAAAACTTGATAATTATCTGTAGATATATAGGAAAAGTCCCAAGTGTATTAACTGTCTTGCAGAGCAAAATAGTCACCATTAAGAGCAGAAATCTAGACGACCAGGGCTTGGATGAGTGGACTAGCACTCTGGATCCATTTTGTCTGAAGCCCTGGACCAAGCAGAAACATAAAGCATTGGTCTGAAATTAAATTCAGTCATTCAGTGGACAGAGGAATATGACAAAAGTGTGCGACGGGCATACACTGCACAACTCTGGGAGAATGAACACCAAATGCCACATAGAGACAGTCAGTTCAGTTGGAATTTAAAAGAGGGGAGAGAATTGCCCTTAAAACTGGAGCAAGATGGGAAATCTGGGGCCTTGGCTTTGAAGGAGGGCAGGGTTGGGAGGAAGGAAAGGTTAACATGAGAAGTGGAGGCAGAGGGAACTTTCAGTGATAGGAAACTTTCAAAAATATTCAGGAAGTTGGCTTTCTGGGCTTGCCTACCTGAACTTTGTGTTTCGGGGGAGATTTTTCCTGCTGCTTTTTCTCTCCCATGGATTTTTGTTTTTAAACTCTTCCTGCCAGGCGTGGTAGCTGTGCTTTTCTGTGGAATCACACAGGCTCATTACACCTACAACAATCTGTCGGTGGAATCAAGAAGTCGAACAAAGCAGGTGAGAGAGCGCCCTGGCCCCTCACAAGGGACCTGCAGATACAAGGGAGGGAACCTGCGGGGCTGACAGCTTCCTCTTCCCTTTCTGTACAGCTCTTTGAGGTGCTACACTTCCTGGCAGAGAACTTCATCTTCTCCTACATGGGCCTGGCGCTGTTTACCTTCCAGAAGCACGTTTTCAGCCCCGTTTTCATCATTGGAGCTTTTGTATCCTTTTCTGGTCCCACTACTTTCTGCACGGGAAGATGACCGTGGCTGGGGAAGCTACAACAGTAATTCCTGGTCTGGCGGGGAGGTGACTGAGCCAGCGCTGGTTCCTGGGGGTTTTATGCCGAGAAAAAAGAAAGGCTTCAGTGGTCAGTATATAAAGCTAAACGTCTTTGATTTCAAGGACGGGCGTTGATTCTCAGGCTGCCCTTTCCGCATTTTGTGTGTCAGGCGGCCTTTCTGTTACACCGGTGGTTGGCAGGTGGTAGTTTGTTTTGGAAAGCCCCCTTCCTGGCAGATCTGAAAATCGGCGACCCATGACAGTCCCCAGAAGTGTTTTGTTTCTCACTGTCAGTCCAGGAGGCTCCCCATCTGGCAGAACTGAGTCGTGTCCCTCAGGGAAGGAAGGGAAGATACAATGGAAAAATACATGGTTCCTTGATTTAGTCCCATCATGAGCGCAGTTTTGGAAAGAGAGGCCCAGTGAACTCTTCTGAGCCATGGAACTCAGTTCCGCTCAGCCTGGGTGTCCAAATCCTGAGCAGGAGTCCACTCTGGCTGGCTGGTCCCTCGTGCCTTCTCTCCTTCCGTTTATTGTGTAGGGATAACTGACACCCACTGAACAGCTAGAGAGGGTAGTAGGCCCCACCAGAATCCTGCCAATTCGAGTGCTCTCTGCTTCACCTGGGTCTCATTTTTTTAGATTTACACACACTACAGACTGAGAGCTCAGGATCTGGGAGATCAGTGTTTTTATTCTTAGGGGAGACCTGGCATGTCATTTGATTGGCATCCTGAGCACGGCATTCTGTGAGAGGTAGTGAGCGCGCAGCCCTCGGGTACAGCTGCGGGCCTCGTTCAGGGCTGAGCCGGGGCCTCTGTGAATCCTGAAGGCTGCTTCCAACTTGAGGAAGCAGCCTTGCATGGCTCCTGGGATAGGAGGTTATAAGCATTACCTGTTTCCTTCTGTTAAGAGCAAAACAAAACAACACACACACACACACAAAAAAAGAGAGAGACAGAGATTAAAGAAGAAAAGTAGGATTTTATCCTGGAGAAGGCAAGAGGAGAGCCCCTCCCTCGCTTCTGTCTGGAACAGCTGCAGCTCCGGCAGCTGGTGCTTTGCTGAAACGGAAGCTCCCTGTTCCTCTGGCTCCCACGCTGGTTTCCTCTGTGAGCAGGGCAGTGTGCATCTCTCTGCGGGGCTCTGTTCTAAACTCAGCAAGTGACGAATGACCCGTTTCCCTGAATTCTTTGCTTTCCACAGCAAGAGTTCCTCCTCCACACTCCTCCTCTTCCATCTTCTCCAAAACACACGTTAGCCTCTTAGGTAGAGAAATCTCCCCAGGTTGGTTCTTGCGAGGAATATGAATGTGTCTTCGTGGAATGAAGACCGTAACTTCCCTCGCCTCTTTGTGGGATCTTCCTGGTCATTCAAACCCCCTGGTGTTTACTTCCAGCCGAAGCTTACAAGCTTACCCAGCAAACTCTCTCTTTTTAGTTTGACTCGGGTTAGTGATTTTTTTTCTTCTCGTGATATTTTTTTTTCCTTCCAATAGAGCCCAACATGCTCTTTGCTCCCCTTAACTCCCCACCCCAGCCATGGTACCTTAGCTTATCTCTGGACTCATTTTTAGCCAGATTGGAGACCTGGTCCATATCAGTTTGATCCAATGAAGAAGTTACAACAATGTGTTTAACAGGCTAGACATGATCTCTGTGAGCCAGGATGCTGGGCAAGGTGGCCAGTTGAATCCCTCTTGCTGTTGAGACTTGTGTGGAGGGAAATGAGACAGCCTACCTTCTCTGAGCAACTCTCCCGATCCTAACAGGGCGCCGTTCCTCAAAGTCTCTGCTTGGAGGTTGTGTGAAAGTGCCATTCTGGAAACCCGTTGGGCCCTTAACCTCCACCCGGTGGCCAGGTTGCCATCTTCCTGGGCAGAGCTGCACATATCTACCCGCTCTCCTTCTTCCTCAACTTGGGCAGAAGGCATAAGATTGGCTGGAATTTTCAACACATGATGATGTTTTCAGGTAAAAAAAAAATTAATGTAAATAAAATGAATTTTTTTTCAGCAGCCAGTGTAAGTACGATTAAAATATAATCGATGAGGTTCACAGAAAGACAGAAATTCAAATTTCTGGTTATTTGGTATCCCCTGCAGTGCGGAGGAGACAGATAGACATGCTAAGTGAAGTCAGTGTTGATTTTGCAAACCATACTTCAAAATGTGAACATTTTCCCCAAAATAGTTGCATCTTTGTTTTTTTCTCTACCACCCAAGGGACCTGGAGGTATATAAGTATTTAGAGTGCTTGATTGTTTTCTAGTAGATGTTCATAACCTTTAATCTTCCAGAAGGGCCTCGGATCTAAAATTAGAAGGAAGATAGGTCATTAATGAGAAAGAGCAGGGGCCAAGTGCTTCAACACCTCCCAGCTTCAATAGCCTCTCCTAAAATAATGAAATGGGAATAATTAATTGAGGCCCCCTCCTAGCTGTAACTTTCTCTGGAGTGCAAGAAATAAATTATACTCACATTAGCAAGATGAACCCCAAAGCGGAAGATAACAGCTGTGATAGTTCTGCTTGATTTACACCGTCTCCCAGATGCTCCCTCTTCACCAGAGCTGAGCAGTGTGGAGAAGCCACCGAGGGGATAAGGGACAATAAAGAAATATGTGGAGGTAAAGAAAGGAGAGAGCACTTGGCGTGAATAGGTGGTGCAGTGAGGGTGGTAGCCGTCAGACTTTATAGATGAGACCGAAGTAAGAGCGTCTCTGCAGAGCAGGGGGAGGAGATGGTGGGGCGAAAGGCCACTGTGACCCTTAAAGGTGCCTCTGCCCCGTGAGGGGGAGGGGGCGGGGCTGTACAAGAGACAGTGAGTAGCAGCCCTTTGCTGCCACAGAGTAGTTCTTGGAGGCCTCAGAGAGTCATAGTGAAATCACACCAACAGTCACCGCTCAGCAAAGCCGTTGCTTTGGCTGGTACTCGCGTCTGCTCTGAAGCCCACAGCCTGCCCAAATGATTTCCTTTCGCTCTGACACATGATTGTGGAGTGTCTCCTTTATAGAAGCCACACTTCTAGGTTGTGGAGGATACAGAAACCAGCCTCCTTCAAGGAACTCACAGTCCGCTGCTGGGAGGCAGGTGTACAAAGAGGGTGGTGAGTTGCACAAAAGAGGTGAGGCATAAATGTGGAGGAGATGAGAACCCCGGGCCGTCTTGGCCGAGGGGGAAGCCTTTGAACTGGGCTCGCATGCAGTGGCGTTTCAGGATGCAGCAGGTTGCAAGGGCAGGACAACATGCAGAGCGAGGGTGAGGTTGGAAAGGGAAATCGCCTGTGGACGGGTGCGAACCTTCAGGTTGCACCCGAATCACCTGTTGGGCAGATTGCTGGGCCCCACTTCCAGAGTGTGATTCTGAGGGTCCAGGGTGGACCCTGAGAATCGGCATGTCTAGGGTGTTCTTGGCAGCAGCCGCTGCTGCTGGTCATGGTGGTTTGAGGACCGCACGTTGAGATCTAGACCACGGAGACGCTCCAATACCAGGCCAAAGAGTTTGGGCTTTTACTGAAGAGCAGCTGGGAAACATTAGAGGTTTCTGAGGAGGGCAGTGACAGATGAGATCTCTCCTGCATATTAGGGAAATGCCAAAGGAAAAGAGAACGTTGAATTGGAGAGAACTCAGCCACCTAGATAAACTTAGTGTGTTCATTACCTTCTGTACTAAAAGACTAAGCAGTAGGCAGTGCTGTTAAAAGACACTTCCCATCAAAATTATTGTCTGCTGGGAGAAATCCGGCTATCGAAAGGAAGTGATTCTTCAAGGCTATGAAAGAAATACCTGAAGTTTCATTTTCATGTTGTTTACAATGTTTAATGTTTACCTAATAAAAATGCAGCACACGTTGTCTCTCTCCGACCCTCAAGTTTGCTTCTTTGAGACAACATCCATTTAAAGGCTTAACTATTAAGTGATGACACAGCTGTCTGTAGGGTAACCTAGATGTGAATCAGCATTTCACTCAGACAAATTAATAGAGAACATTAACTTTGCTGTTTTTTAGTGTAACTGTTGTTGAGCCACTCTTCTTTAGTGAATTGTAGTGAAGTTCTGAGATTAGTGGAATTGTGAAATTGTTGGGAAAGGTGGGAAAATATACAGATACTGGGTATAATTTTCCATTCTCCTAATATGCACACTCAGTCTTACCCAGGGTGAATAGGAATTGATACTAGATAGCTTTTAAAGACCATGGATTCAGCCTTTACTATTTTCTTCTTCTTTTATTGAAGTATTGTCAGTTACAGTGTATCAGTTACAGTGTGCCAATTACAGTGTGTCACTTTCTGGTGTACAGCACAATGTCCCAGTCATGCATATACATACATATATTCATTTTCATTTTTTTTAAATTAAAGGTTGTTAAAAGATATTGAACATAGTTCCCTGTGCTATACAGAAGAAACTTCTGAAATTTATTTTTATATCTAGTGGCTAACAATTGTAAGGGGTACATTTGGGAGTTTGAGATTTACATATGTCAGCCTTTACTATTGAACAAATTATGAGCGTGGTATGGAGAAAGAACAAAAGAGCTTACAAAGAGAAACTCGAAAACATAAAAATGGGGGTGCTTAATCTTAACACCCATTAACATAGGTCAGGGGTCAGCAAACTACAGCTCCTGGGCCAAATTTGGTTGCCTGTTTTCATCCACCCCATGGGCTAAGAATGGCTTTTACAGATGAATATTTTACAATCTAGTTGGTGACAGGGGACACTAACTTTGGAGCCCAGTTAACTGAAATATCCCACTGCCAGAATTCCATTCTCTTCACTAGTAGACCTGAATTGCAACAAATTGAACTCATTACTGATTATTATAATTATTTGTTACATTTCTATATAGTATTATAATAGGTGCTAATCAATTAAATTATAGTACTTATACTCTTGCTTTTGGTCAATAAAATTTTGTGGAAATTTGATTTCTCTCTTTGACGTAAGTACCAACATAATATCCTTGAGTTTTTCCTCTTGGCCCACAGAGCCTAAATATTTAGTGTCTGACCCTTTATGGAAAACATCACCAAACCCTGACATAGATCAGGTTATATTGTTGCTTCTCTGCCTGGGTTTGCTAAGGAAATGCTGAGCTGTTTTGTGGTTCGTGATGCATGAACCACAAATGTGCATTTGACATATTATACTTAGCCTATTTCTTAAGTTTCTAATGACTATAATCCTTGGGTAGTGCTTGCATCTCTTCTTATTGATATTTCTTATTTCATGTGACTAGCGGGAGAATTATTTCAGTAATAAAAGAGTGTTACTAGTCTGAAATGCGCTGTACAGAGCAGTGCAGTGTTTTCCTTGTTGCATTTGGGCATTCTGCAAAAGGAATCTTCAAATGGGAGGAAACCCCATTCCTGAAAGTTCTTCTTTCTGAATAAAGCAACTCGACTCCCGAGGCAGAAGCAGATACAGTTTATCAGCCCTGAGTGGCAGCAAGAGGATTTGAGGACACCTTGTCATTTGTCCTTATGACAGGAGATCTTCCTCTCTGGTCCCCGCAGGCCTCAGGGGAGCGATGGCATTTGCCCTGGCCATCCGAGACACGGCATCCTACGCGCGCCAAATGATGTTCACGACCACCCTCCTCATCGTCTTCTTCACTGTCTGGATCATTGGTGGAGGCACGACACCCATGCTGTCATGGCTTGACATAAGGTCGGTTTGAAACCCAGGCCAGTTTTGTGTCTAACTATGCTCTCCGTCCATGCAGGGGGAGCTACGCACAGCTTAGCGCATGGAGGGCTTTTATAGTTTATTGTTCTGTTTGGGGAGGGATTAAAAATAAAAAAAACAATAAATAAAAATTCAGAGGATTGAATTTTCCACGAGGAAAAAATGTCATTAAAATGTTTGTTGGTACAAAAACACAAGGAGTTAGAAACACCTGGACCTCACTAGAGCAGCGACTTTGGGGGCAAGAATTCCAAACGTCTTAAAAGCTGCAGGAGAGAGAGTAAATATAGCTGCTGGCAACATCTGGCATTTCATTTCACATTCCTTTGAAATCAAAGCTAAGGACTTCCAGAATAAGCTCATCAGCCAGAAATAAAGGGAGACAGAGTTTTGGTTTGGGAGGAAACTGTTTGCTATGTCTTCTGTGCTGGGGTGCACAGAAGAGGTGACATTTCCTGCATAACCCTCATTTCTTGCAGCCCCACGGTCATCTCCTGCCTGTGGTTTTGCAGCTGTGTCAGGATGGAGGGGCATTGACTTGAGTTTGAATTTTTTTTTTAAAGCATTTGAATTCCAAACTGTGCTTGGGAGCCCCAGCACCGTACAGTAAAGGGGACATTGGAACAGGACCCACAGCCTACTAAGTCTGACCCTGATTTAAGACAAGCTCTTGGTGTCTTTGAGCCTCAGTACCCCTCCACATTGAATGAAAGCGTGCTGTCAGATTTCCTCCAGGTCCCTGCAGCTCTAAGTGTGTGCTCTGCATTGCTGGAAGCAGTCTCACCACCTGCTCAGTTTCAGATCTGCAGAGGGTGAACGTGATGGGAATGAGAAGGCACTGGGGTGGCGCAGAGGTGTGAAGAATTCTCAGAAAAGCCACAAGATGGCAGTGTTTTTTTTTCTTTCTCTGCTGGCTGTTAGTTTGTATTCCCTTCTCTAGAATATAGGATGCGCGGGGCTGACAGCAGCAGAGCACACCCAGCTTGGAGGAAAGCAAACCTGCAAGGATCTCACAGTCATCCTCAGGGTCAGGGAGGAAACCGGGATTTGAGAACATAGTCTCCTCGCTCTGGAACTCTTGTATTGATGGAAGGAAGGGATTCCTGGGTGTGGCCACTGCCAGCCGCACCATTTCAGGTCTAGTATGTCTTAGATCTGGGTGGGTCTGCAGAACTGGTCAGTAACAGTCATATAAGAGCTAACATTTGTGCTACAGCCGTTGCTTGAGATGCCAACGTGTATATTAAGAAACTCCTCACAGCATTCCTCGAAGGGAACTACTAAATCTTCATTTTAGAGTTGAGGAAACTGAGGCACAGAGGAATAACTTGCCCAAGGTCGCAAAACTTTAAGCAGACGAGCTGGGATTTGAATCCAGGCAGTCTTGCCACAGAGTCCACACCCTTAGCTACTGTGCTGTGCTTGCCCATAGAAAGGCTTGCTGTGTTAGGGATTGTTTTGATGTTGTAAGATTTGGGATGATTAAAATTTCAATTTCCTGGCCCGAATCTCAAGGGCCGTATTAAGGAAAATAACTCATCTGTGGAAATAGAAACCTGAAAAAGAAAACTGACAAAAGTTCGGCTTTAAACTTGAGACCTAAGATGGTATCATCTGTGTTGGCTGTAGCAGAATAAGAACAAGAAAAGAGTTTTACCCTGCACCCAGTTGAGAATCCCTACCTTTGCTACCCTCTCTGAGATGCCTGCCTAATCTTACTGGGTCTGATCACCCTAGATGCCCAAAGCCTGGTTAAATCATGTTTGTTCCTCATGCTATTTCTTAAGTCCTTGCCTAACCCCTCTCAACATATGCGGGACCAGATGACTTTGAGTAGAGAGTTGACTTGTGACATTTTGCACTTCTCACAACACTTTTCAGAAAGTGGGCCATCGAATAGTCCTACCTGGAGCTGAGAGCATGGGCCGCTTTCCCTGATACATACAAGCTGTATATGTACAAATATGATACTTGGGTTGTTGTGAAAATGTGAATGTAACATACAGACAGCACTTAGAACATAATAGCACGTACCGAGGGGATCAGGAAATAATTGATCCAGTTCCTCCCCCTCCTTGTCAGCATTTGGTGTTGTCATTTTTTTCTTTTAGCCATTCTGATAGGTATGTGGAGAGACCTCACTGTAGTCTGAATTTACATTCTTCTCATGGCTAATGATGTTGAACATTGCTTCATGTACTTATTTGCCATTCATGTATCTTCTTCGGTGAAATATCTGTTCAAGTCTTTGTCCATTTTCTAATTGGTTGATTGTTTTTCCATTGAGTTTTGAAAGTTCTGTATTTGTTCTAGACCACAGTGTGTTCTAGACCACAGTTCCTTTAACAGACTCTGTCATAGAGTAGAAGTTTTCACTTTGATGAAGTGCAATTTCTTTTTTTGTTTTTAACGCATCATGCTTTTTGGTGTCACGTCTAAGAACTCTTCATCAAGCCTGGCTCCCAAAGATTTTCTTCTATGTTATCTTCTAAATTTTTTTTTCAGGTTTTTTTTTTTTGCTTTACATTTAAATCTGTCATCTATTTTGAGTTAATTTTTGTATTAGACATGCAGTTTAGGTCAAGGTTTTATTTTACTTGTCTTTAGCTATCCAGTTGTTTCAGCATAATTTGTTAGAAAGGCTGTCTTTATTCTATCGAATTACTTTTGCTCCTTTGCCAGAAATCAGTTGGCTGTATGCGTGCGGGTCTGTTTCTGTTCTGCTCCACTGATTTATGTGTCTGTCCCTCCACCAGTACCATACTGGTTTGACAGCTGCAGTTGTATAATAACCCTTAGCATCGGGGGAGCGGCTCCTCCCACTTTCTTCTTCTTTTTCAAAATTGTCATAGCTATCTAGTTCCTTTCCATATATATTTTAGGATAAGCTTGTCTACATATTTTTTTTAAATCATACTGGGATTTTTGTAGAAATTGTGTTAAACCTGTGTATCAGTTTGGGGATTACCCAGTTGAGTTTTCCAGTTCATAAACACGGCATGTTTCTCCATTTGTTTAGATCTCCTTTGATTTATCAGTATTTTATAGTTCTCAGCATACACTGCCTGTACCTGTTTTGTGAGATTTACATCTAACTATTTCTTCTTTTTGAGCAATTTTAAATGTTATCCTATCTTCAATTTCAGTTTCCATGCAGTCATTGCTAGGGTATAGAAATACAGTTGGTTTTTGTGTATTGGTTTTTTATCCTGCGACCTTGCCAGATTCACTTCTTAGTTCTAGGAAGGTTTGTTTTTTTGGTTTTGTTTTTATATAGTCTTTTGAGATTTTCTATGTAGACCATCAAGTCATTTGCAAATAGAGACTGTTTTATTTTTTCCCTTTCCAACCAGTGTGACTTTTATTTGATTTTCTTGGCTCTGGCCAGGAGTATCAGTGCTATGTTGAATAAGAGTGATGTGAACAGATATCCTTGCTTTGTTCCTGATCTTAAGGGAAAAGCATTCAGTCCTTCACCAATAAGTGTGTTGTCAGCTGTAGGGTTTTTGTAGATGTTCACGATCAAGTTGAGGAAGTTCCCATCTATTGCTAGTTTTCTGAGAGTTTTTATCACGAACAGATGTTGAATTTTAGCAAATGCTTTTTCTGCATCAATGGATAGGATCATAGGATTTTTCTTGTTTGGCCTGTTAATATGGTAGATTATACTGATTAATTTAAAATAGTGAACCAGCATTGTTCATCTAAAATAAACCGCACTTGGTAGTGGTGTGTAACTTTTTTTATATATATTGCTGAATTCTATTAGCTAATATTTTGTTCAGGATTTTTGTGTCCAGGTTCATGAAGGATATTGGTCTGTAGTTTTCTTTGTTCTACTGCCTCTGTCTGATTGGGCATCAGGGTCATCTGGCCTCACAAAATGAGTTGGGACATGTTCCCTACTCTTCTGTTTTCTGAAAGAGATTGTGTAGAATTGGTATTAATTCTTTTTGAAGGTTATATGGGATTCTACAGTGAAACCATCTGGTCCTGAGGCTTCTTTCCCACGAGTTTTATTATTAAAAATTATGAAGCCAATTTCTTTAATAATTAGAGAGCTATTAACATGATCTATTTCATGTTGGTGACTTGTGACAGTTTGTGAAATTGGTCCATTTCACCTTAGTTGTCTAGTTTATGTTTGTAGCATAATCTTATTACTCTTTTCATATCTGTGAGATCTTTAGTGATGGCCCATGTTTCATTCATGAAGTTGGTAATTTACATCTCTATTTTTTTTCAGTCTTACTAGAAGTTCATCAATTTTATTGATCTTTTCAAAGAACTGGCTTTTTATTTCATTGATTTTGTTTTCAATTTCATTGATTTCTGCTCTTATCTTTATTAGTTCTTTCTTTCTGTTCAGGTCTACCCAAACAGCATAATGAAGCAAAGTGTCACTGGTAAAAAAAATACATATGGTGTCAGTTCATTGCATTTTTCCAGATGTGCATAAATAGCGATTATGTAAGAGGTAGAAACTGACATTTAGAGAGATGGCATCAAAAGAAATTCCCTTAGAAATAAGGTAATGAGACTGATGGGTTTTTCTGGCTTGTGGCTTGTGGTGTTGCTTAATGGCCACAAATCATTTATGTGAACCAGGGTTTTATTCTAAAATGATTCAGAAACACCCTGAAGTTCAGTGTGATATTTTGACCTCTGCGATCTCAGTGAGATCTATATCTGGTTGTTTCTTACTTCTTTAGGCTGCTGACAGAGTGCCCAAGAAGCTGCTAAGCTGCTGCTCAAAAGTCAGAAACCCAGGGTAGGACTTGGAGTTCTACCATAAATAATTAGGAGTTAGCTGTGCTTTTGAACCATGGCTAATTTCTCGTCTGTGTGTAAAATAAAATGAATATAACCACAAATCCAAAGCCAGGCCACTGCTTTCCAGAACTCCAACTTACCTTTTTAAATTGGAATTTTGTGATTGCCATTTTAAAACATAATGACAAAACACTCAAATTGGTTTTTTTTGGTAATATAGAAAGTGCATAATATGTTTTTTAGTCTCTTGAGCAAGTGTTGTCATTCACAAAGGTGGTAATTTTGGCAACCTTAAAAAAACCCATCACGGGGTTATTTCAGCGAATGAGCCTTGTACGTGTCCTGAGCACATTTTGGCGGCATGGTGGCTGTCCTCTTGAAGGGCCCAGCTTCAAGTGACACAGCCATGAAGTGGTGGTGATGGTAGGGGGTTAATGGCATGCAGCCGGGCGGCCAAATACACAGGTAACCTTCATACCCTGGAGTGCAGCGATACAGTCCCTCAAGGGCAAGTAAGGGCGCTGCTCCGTATAATCCTGTCTCACTGAGAGTTTAAGATAAAGCTCTTGGTAAGATAATGTAAGGAATAAAGGCAAGGAGAAGCCCTGAGCTCTTTATGTAATAGCATTTGTAACTGGATAGTATTAAAGAGTTTAAAGTCGCCACCTTGCAGTCGAAGGCAGTATCCTGTAGGTCTGAGGCTCTAACTGCCTCAGCTGCCATCTCGATTCCAGCCTGTTCTACTTTTTTGACCTTGGGCAACTTATTTTACCTCTCAGTCTCCATGCTGATTAAACGGGGATGACAACAGTGTGAGGATGAAATGTGATACTAAATAAATGTGATAAAGAATTCTCCTCTTAAAAGTACCATCTAGCACAAGGTAAGCACTTAGGGTATTTTAGCTGTGACGTTATCATGGCGAGTCATAGCTTTAGTACTGCTGCTAATACTATTATTATTACTTTTTGCTATTACTGTTATTATCAGTGAATCTTACATCAGTGGGATCCAGCTTGCTTTTCTCTCTGGAATTTGTTATAATTTCTCAGTACTTTGGTTTAAGTCACATTCCGAGCACGTGCCTAATTAAAAGTACCACCTTAAGAAGCATCATGCCCTCACCTGCATGTCTCAGGGGATATTAGTAGGATGAGAATTTGGGCATTCTCTTGCCTGGTGCTTCTCAACCTTGGTTTGTTTTTTTTTCATCATTGCTCCTCTAAGGAACCTTTAAAAATGTTCTTTTTATTTACCGCTTCCATTGAAATCTTAATACTGCAGATCTGTGTATCTGTTTATCTACTGTGGTGCTTTAGAGGGCTACAAACCACTGTAATATCTAAACATTTTTTTTTGTCCCATAAGAACCAGTTTTCACACGCCTGGGGTCTACATGCCATCCCCCATTGAGAATGCAAGATTCAGTGCAGGGTTTCTCAGCTGCGGGCAATTTTGTCCTCCTGGGGGGCGTTTGGCAGTGTCCGGAGACATTGTTGGTGGCTTCAGCTGGAGGGGGCACTACTGGCATCTTGCAGGTCGAGGCCAGGGCCCAAAATGTCAGTAGTGCCGAGGCTGAGAAACCCTGCTCTTAGTGTGATGGTGAGATTCAAGTGGACTCTGAATAATCCAGCACTTACTAAGGAAGGTGAAAAAGGACAGTGTCAACCCTTGAGGCCACAAGATAGAGAGAATAGCAGAAATTGGGTTTCTGGCCTTCAGCTTGAACCCATGGACAACGTGATGTACTTGTCCAGGAAAAAAAGGCCACTTCATCCTCTGTTGTGGCTTTTTTCAGTGATAATGTTCTTTGTTCTTTCTGTCAAATGTGTGTAAAAATGTATGTAAACACTTCAAATATATGTTTAATAACAGCTCTGTTTTCTATTTTTTGTATGGATGTGTCTTGCTTTGTGAAACAGACGAATTTCTGAAAGAACTGTGTAAAGCCATTTTCTGGGAGTTGCATTTATGCCTCAGATTTCATTACATTCTATTGCGAGAGGCTTGTCTTCATTCCCAGCGACTCCTCATTTTGACCTGGCTCCTAACATCGCTGCTTTCGATGTAAAGTTAGCAGCCTCCCTGCATTTTCGAGAATGGGGACAGTTTAAGAGAGGGTACGGGTTTGTGTTCAAAGTGAGACAGCCCTGTTCTCTGATAGACGTGGCCCAGGTCACATGCCCAGAGCTCCCGGCGCCCCTGTGGTCCCCATCACACTCACGTTCCCTTCTTCTGCTGCCCAGAGTTGGCGTCGAGGAGCCCTCCGAAGAGGACCAGAGCGAGCACCGCTGGCAGTACTTCAGGTGATACAGGGCATCCTCAGAAACAAAGTAACCGCTCCTCTTTGCTCCTCTTTCTAACCTGAGACGTTTCTCTTTACGCTGTTTGTTTCTTGCTTCCTTCCTGTGTGCGCCACCCCGCTGCCCCTAGAAAACGGACAAGAGGTCCAGTCAAGTGTAATCATTCTCTCCCCTTCTCTGGGCTGATGAATGTGTCGGGCTTCCTGAGAGTCTGGCCCCTTTCCCCCCATTTTGGACAGTGTGTGTCCGCACCAAAGCCGGAGCTGGCGAGTGTCTCCTTGTACGACGGAGTTTAGTGTTAAAAGCCACAGACACGTTTCCCCACAAAATCCTGCTTGTGATCTAGTAAACAAAGCTTTTAACTCAGAGAGAGAACTAGAGTTTTATATGTCAGCTGTGACTGGGGTATGGTTTATACCATCATAATTAAGCACCAATTCCATTTTAGTTTTTTAAGTATGTATTTATGTACTTGTATCTTATCTTGGTGAATCAGATAATACAAAAAAAATTTTTTAAACCAGAAGATAATGAAAGACTATTCTAATGTAATTTGTTTCTCAGTGTCCACCCAAGTTTATGATTTAATTGTGCGTAAGTGTGCCGATGTTGGGCAGAGTAAAGACTTTCAACATTTCTTCTTTCCTTTCTGTATCTTTACTGTATCTGTAACTGGCATGCTTTCTTCCTGATCTGGTTCTGGGTGCTAGTGGATAAATCAGATGCAAAATAGGTTTGAACTCTGTTCTTCTTCTCGTTGTGAAAGTGTTTCACTCTCTGAGGACAGTGGTGAAAGAAGCAATACCTGTCATGGGGCATCAGTCTTGGGATGTTGCCAGGTCTCGGGTATAAACTATTATAATATGCATGCAGTTAATTGAAGCATTTAAGTTTCCAGGATTCACACTTTTTTCTACTGTTTAAAATCTACACACAGACACACAAGTTCACATTCAGAGACGGACTGTAGGTACCAGTGAAATTGCAGAGGAAACCCTTTCCTTTGAAATATCCAACCTTCAAGAAGGAAGGTCCTTCAGGCATAGTGCAAGTTACTGCATTTGGGATATGAGAGAATTCGAATTCTGCTCTGTTGTTCAAGGTTTTATATGACTGTGTGTGTCTCACAGTCCCCAAATTATTTAGGACCTCAGCCATTCAAATTAAAGAAAAACTATTGATTAAAGTAGAATGCTTCTAAAATTTCTGAGATTTCCTGGCATTTTATTTGGTGGTTAATCAGTGTGTGTACGTATTATACCAAAAGGGACATGATTCATTTTCTGTATTTATTCATTCCAGAAGGAGCGCATCAGTGTGACTGCTTTATTTTCTCATTTGGAATGGGATTACCACATGTGTCTCATTCTTAATGAAAATAAGGATAATTCAGTTCATTCTGGAAGAAAAGGCTGTTGTCTGTGCTCTAATGAGCTCAGCCGTAGTGTATCAGGGGAATGCTAAAATATGATATAATAAAACAGCACAAAAATTTTAGATTGATACAGTGACTTAGATCAAAAGCATTATAACAGGTCAAGAAGGAAATATATATTGTGGACAGTTGTCTGAAACTAGGAATTTCAGAAAGCTAGGGAACCCCAAGTCTTCTGAGTCGTTACACTTAAAATACTGTACGTGGTCTTTCTTGTCTCTGGGCTTTCTTGCTGCCCAGCACACCACTGAACGCCCTGCCCCAAGGCTGAGGCCCTTTGTAGAGGTCCAGCATCATCCTTGGGAATTGGTCCATGGGGCCCTCAACCCTGCCAGAATGAAACTGTCCTGAAATAAACAGCCTTGAATGGGGAAAGAAATCGCAGAACACCATCTGTGTCACAAGGCCGCTCATCTGTTTTCTTTTGGCATTTACAACACGGTAGCAAGCTGGGAAGCAAGTCTCTGTTTCCTTTCTCAGAAATCTCCTAGTTAGCACTTTGATCGGTAGGGACCTCTGAGACCTTCCGAGGGGTCCACCCACGTTCCTCTGTCTGTGGGAGGGCCCCGGAGGGGGAGGTCATTTAGGTTTATTTATTTACTTTTTTAACGGAGGCACTGGGGATCGAACCCAGGACCTCATGCATGCCAAGCATGTGCTCTACCACCAAGCTATACCCTCCCCCTTCTCTTTGCCCTCACTTTAAGAAGGACAGTCTCAACAACACGTTCCAGGATTTGTCTGGGGAAAAAAAAACCCATGTAATTACTAGACTCTACATCTACCTATTACCTATAATTAACCTCTAATAGCACCTTGTGTCCGTGAATCTCTACGACTTGTGGTTTTCAGACCCTGGAATAAAATTAGATCCTGAATCATCATTATTAGTAAGTTAGATTAAATTAGAGAGATGGGAAAACGTGCTCACGGATTTGTGAAACATTTTCACCAAGGATATAATTAAGTATCCTTTTGAAATTGTGGAAAAGTTTAAATCTGCAAAAAAATGCTGAAGGAATAGAACAGTGAATATCCGAGTTCTAACCTGGATACACCCACCAATTGCTAACATTTTGTCATATATTTCGGGGTCATTTTTACTCTGTGCGTGTGTCTCTCTCTCTAATCATTTCGAAGTACTTCAGAGTACACTGTAAACATCATGACTGTCTACGCCTCAGCACTTGAGCATGTATCTCCTTGGAACCCAGTCTCCTACGTGATCACAGTACCTTTACTGCAACTGAGAAAAGTAACATGAATTTTATACACACACACACACACACACACACACACACACACACACACACACCCTGGATCCAGGATCTAATCAAAGTTTAGGCCCTGGTTGTTGTTATCTCTTTGGTTATTCTATCTTTAGTCTCTTTTAATCTAGAACAATCCTCCCCTACTCCCTTTTGCCTCTTATGACATTGACGGGTTGTTTTTTTTTTTAAGTATTCAGGAAAATTGTCTTGCAGAATGCCCTACAATCTGGATTTTCCTGATTCGTTTTTTTCCTCTTGATTAGAGATAGTCATTCTTTCTTGCCAAAAATACTGTAAAAGTGATGTTATGTATTTCTTGTTGCATCGTATCCGGTGATGCACGTTGTCAGGCCCTCCCTTTATTAGTGATGTTAAGTTTGATCCCTTTACTCTCTCTAATGTAAAAGCACTGTTTTCCCTTTGTAACTAAAAACTAACCTATAGCATGATGCTTCAATATCATGTGAATAGCCAGATTCCCAACAACCTTTTACCCACTGGTATAATGATCCTCTGATGACCCTTGCTTGAAACAGTTATTACACTGTGAGTGGAAAATGGTGATTTTCAATTCTGTCATTCCTTTCACGTTTATGACAATTATCTGTACAGAAGAGCTTTCAGAGAGTTTTAAATCTTATTTTCTATACTGATGAAGTGAGAAATCTAGCCATTGTCTAAGTGATCAATTCAAGCAAAATTTTACGTAATATTTAAGGGATGAAAGAGTTGGGTCTCCGCAGGATCCCAGCAGGAATCTCAGGTGTTATCGTTGATAAGGCAGAAGGCAGCAGACAGTTGTCCCAGCAGAGAGAAAAGTGATGCTAGAGAGACATGGCGGGAATGAGTACTTTCTGGAATCTGTACTGTCCAGTTCGGTAGCTACTAGCCACATGTGGCTATTCAAATTTAAATTTTAACTCATTAAAATGAAGTAAAACTGAAGTTGCAGTTCCTCGGTCATATTAACCGCATTTCAAATGCCCGGTGGCCACATATGGCTGGTGGCTACCATGTTGGACAGCCCAGATCTAGAAAAGTACCATCACGGCGGAAAGTTCTGTTGGACGATACGGATCTAGAGGCAGTCTCAGTTTCCCTCACGTTCCCCTAAACAAAATGTCAAACAAGCCTGGGATGAGGCTGGGGGCGACCCGAAATTTTGAGAGTTGATCAGGTTATTCCAGTGTTTTGTGCTCTGTTGTTTTGCATTCTGGCCTGGCCACGTGGGCCTGGGGTAAATAGGTGAGTTCCCCTGACGTTGCCAGGACTTGACTGAAAACAGTCGAAACCTGGTCTTTATAAGCAGTTCTTGGGAATCGGAATTTATGTGAATTCTTGTTAAACAGTTTTGTTCTCCGAGCAGAGGTTAGTTGAAAGGGCAGAGGGGGCTAGATTGCCTTCGGCCGCCTTTATTATGTTTGACTTTATTTTCTTCACTGTGGTACAAGGCACGCTTAAGCCTTTTCGCCTACCCATAGGCTTCCTGTTTCATCTGGGCCCAGAAAATCAATCTGTTTGATCTTTCCTGACATGGAAGCCGCTTCTTAGAAAGGCGAATACATACTCCTGTTTCACAATTCACGGTACAGAAAGGAGAGATTATTCGTGGCAGATCTGAACCGCTGTGCTCTGGGCCACACTGCATGTCACACCCCTCAGATCACACGGTCTGGGCGCCTCTGCCCCGCCGGTAGCCCCTCTGTGGTTAGGTAGGAGGGTGCCGTTCACCTGGCGTTCTGGTAGGCTGTCTGGAAGACAAACTGGTAACCAGTGCTCTGCCCCCCCCCAGAGTCTTTACTGGGGAGCTCACCCAAGTAAATCAGTCTGCCATGAAGTGGCTTCGTGCTGTTGTCGAATCCACAGAACGGGGCCTAAAACTGGATTCCTAGCTTTTGATCCTATAGGTGTTGACACCATACAGAGGACTTTTCTCTGCATAACGTACATTAAGAGGGCACATACTGAATTCTGAGTAGTATTTAATATGTGCCCTCTCCTCTACCACTCTTGGTACATTTCTACACTTCGGGTGTACTGAGGCTCTGGGGTGACCTTCGTGGGTAGCCCTGGGGCCCCGGCATTGGGTGGATTTCATGGCAGAAAAAAAAGAAATCTCTGTGAAAATGTGTTGCTCAAAAGTCCCCAAATAATGTCCAGTTGTGAGGAAGACCCCATCAAACCTCAGGCCCACGGGGAGGAAACCTGGTACCAGGTACGCTATGGGTTTTAACTAAGTGTTCAGAAAGGGGCCGGGCATAGTGGGTACTCGGTAAATATTCGCTGGATACATGCATTCCTCTTGTGGCTTTAAACTTTGCCTTCAGCAAAATATGGGGTAACTGTTCCCTTTCCTTCTGTATCCTCCCGCCCCCATGCAGGGGCCACACACAAGTTAGTGCCCGACAAGTCTGGAATAAGACAGAGTAGAGGGGGGGCTTTAAGAGAGGGGTACCTCTGTGTGGTCTTCTGTTTCCCCTTTATCAATGTCATTGATGTCCCAGTTCTCTGCCTTACAGTGAGGAAGGTTCAGGGATAAAGAATTAACAAATACATAGAGTGACTTGGTATGTTGCCAAGCCAAGCCAACTACCCCAGTGCTTTCCTGGGATTCCTTATACGTGGATTTTGTCACCATGCTGTTCTTTCTGTTGTCTGTTGTTGCTCCCACACATGTGAGTTTTCCGATCATCTCTACCGCCAGGGGATGCAAGGCCACCAGGATGTAAAGTTAATGATGTGCGTGGTGAGATGGTTCGGGGAAGTGTACTGATGTCTGCAACTTTATTTGAATTTATCCAAAAAATAAGATGGATGACAGACGGATAAGTATGTAATAAAGAAAACACAGCAAAATGTGATGGTAGAATCTAGGTGGAAGGCATACAGGTGTTCGCTTTAAATTCTTTTAAAATGTCCCTGGATATACGAAAAATTCCGTAACAGAAGGTTTGGGAACTAAAAGCAGGTCAGGTGGCAGTGAGGAAGAGGCTGCCCGGGACCGTCTGGGGCGGGAAGGCAGCCCGACGGCTGCCAGCGGGTGCCGTTCCCAGAGGCCTTGCTTAAGGAGTAAGCACACAGGAGTTACTGCCCACCCTCCCCCTCCTCCCTGGGATCTGAGGTGGCGTGTGACCTCTTTCTCACGACTTTTGCATGACAGCCTCCCTCTTCTTGTAGCTAACCACTCCTTCCACTTCGGGAAGATGCTCAGCTTCTTGGCTGCTTTCAGCCAGCATGACCGCCATGGTCCAAGCTAACGGTCTCTGTTTTTTCTCCTTGTCTTTCTCCCCGGTGCCTGACAGAGTTGGCGTTGACCCAGATCAAGACCCACCACCCAACAATGACAGCTTCCAAGTCCTTCAAGGGGTAAGTCACAAGAGATGCTTCTTCCCAGGAAGATGCTATTTAAAAATGGCTAAAATTTATTGAGCACTTACTACATTCCAGGCACTTTCGACAAATTCCCTTGTTGTGATCCTGACAAGCACCTTATGACGTAGGAAGCGTCATCCCCCATTTCCAGATTAGAAGCTAAAGTCTGAGAGATGAAGGGAGTCATCTAAGTTCAGAGAATTAGAAAGTGATGGAGCCAGGGTTTGATCCCAGAGCCTCTGTTCTTAAACAACATATTAAGGGGGGCGGGCTGGTCTGAAAGAGTGTTTAAGCGGACTCCCTCCCTTCCAAGGATGGATATATTGGAGGCGTCGGTGATTGGCTCACAGTAACTGGTTCTGAGCCTCGCCAGTGCATGGGCAAGGGAAGGAGAGGGATGTGACCCGACTCTCTAGCCCAGGGGGTCGGAGGAAGAGAGGAGGGATGCTGGGTGACTGCAGGCCCTCCTGTGCCTCCAGTTAAGGCTTGGGCAGGGCGCGGTGTCCGTGACAGCCTAGAGCAGAGCGCCAGGGAGGGAACTGGGGAGGAGCAATGAGCGGAATAGCCCTAGGGCCCCCTCCTGTGCAAGGGGTGGGGGAGGGAGGAGTTCCTGTTGCTGCAGGGAATCCTGATGGAGCCCGTGGGGGGAGGGGCGTGCTGGCCCTCGGTTTTGCCCTCTGCTCCAGTCACTCTTGCAGCATAACGAGCTGCCCCCAACACAGGAAAGGGGGCGACAACTTTGTATCCACATGCATTCTCCAGGTCAGGAATTTGGAAAGGGCACAGTAGGGACAGCTTGCCTTTGCTCCATGAAGAAAGCTGGGAGCGTGTGCGAGGGGGGAACTCAGCAGCTGGGGGCTGGAATCATCAAAGGGTTCATTGGCTCATTGATCTGGGGCCTGGGCTGGGAGGACTCACGCTAAGACTGGTGGCCAGAATGCCTCTGAAGGCTTCTCTGTGGCCTCCGGGTATTGGACTTCCTACGTGAGGGCTCAGGCTTCCAAGGGCCGATGTCCCAGCAAGCAAGGTGGTGGCCACATGGCCTTTCCTGACCTAACACACACAGCATCACTTCCGTGACTTTCTGTTGGTTGCAATGAGTTGCTGGGGCCAGTCCAGATTCAACGGGAGAGGACAGAGACCATAGCCTCTGGACGGGAAGGGTATCAGTGAAGTGGCATCTGTATTTTAAAGCTGCCCTCTCACCCCCATTGTAGGATGGTGGGGTGATCCTGCCTCCAGGTTTTGCTCCTTCTCCAGGCTGGCATTTCCTGGGCAGGCAAAGCCAGGGAAAGGAGAGTCGTGATAGGAGCAGAAATGTGTTTCCAGAATCTTATTATTTGGCTTTGGGAGTGAAGAACCATTTTGTTCCGCATAGAAGATCCAGTGCTGAGCGCAGCGGCTGGCACGTGGTGTGGCTTGCCTGGCATTTGACGGGAAGACAGGGGAGCCGCACAGGGCATGGGAAGCTGCAGTGACGCATGCGTGTGTCGTCTGCGAAGCCACATCGAGTGTTTCTTTTTCTTCCAGTCAGCTTTGAATTGCACTCATCATTGGGCTCAATCCTAAATCCAGTCTGCCTGTGTCAGATTCCGCGGGACCTTCTAAATGACTCCATCTGCCAAACCTGCTTTAACGAGTCTCGAGAAATGTGGTGCTTTGTGGGGACAGGGGTGCCGCCATGGCTTCCTCTGAGGTCTCTGTGAGGGTGCTCACAGCCTGATAAGGCAGTCTTGAGTTGATACCCCTTAAGGGACACAAAGCCGTGACCTCTGAAAGTTCTAGGCATTTTGGAAAGAGCGTTTAGTGAGCTTCACTGGAGATTTGGTGCCCACTTTATTTTTTATTTTTGAATGTGTGTTTTATTTTATTTTGGGTTTTTTTTGGGAGGGGTAATTAGGTTTGTTTCTTTATTTGTTTATCTTAATGGAGGTACTGGGGATTGAACCCAGGACCTCGTGAATGCTAAGCATGCGCTCTACCTCTGAGCTGTACCCTCCCCGCTTGGTGCCCACTTAAATGGTGCTTTTGATGATGTTTGAATTGGCTGTTGTGCCAGTTGGGAACCTGGGGTTCCAATGAGAGGTTCTTTTGGAAAAATGGCTGTTCAACTTGAGCTTTGATTAAGGACGTTAGAAAACAGGGGTTCAGGAGCTGTGCACCCAGCAGCTAATTTAGCGTATAATGGATTGGGTTTCCCCAAACTGGGGAGATGCGGAAACCTGGGTGAAATTTCTGATGGACATCTTCATTGCCCTGAAAGGCAAGTCACGGCTCTGGTAGGACACACGTCCTCCACAGACCTGCTTTCAGTCAGGGCGAATTTTGTCAAGAAAATAGGTCACGACCAGCTGGGTAGCCAGGGTTTGGACTGATTTCATCTGGACAGTTCCAGACCTGTCAACTCCCAGCCCCAGCCCTTCTGCTCTTTTCCATTGCTCCTGCCTCTGGACCCAAGTGTCTGTGAAAGGAAATCCATGAAATGGGTGGTTGGTTTCATGTATCTGAACTTACTGGACGTCTCAGGAGAACTGCACATGGAGACACTGCGCTTGTAACTAGACTTAGTAATAAATGTGCTGTCCCCTTTCCGTGGAAATGTCTGAAAAGCAGTGGGTCCTAAGTGCTAAGGACTCTGGCAGTGCCTTTAGTCCGCGCACTGATAGCTAAGGTCAGACCCCCAGCCCCAGGCAGGGTGAGCCTTGGAAACTGCCCTTTGGGCCAGTTTTGACCCCAGATTGGGGGCAGGTGTCAGCCACTTCCACTGTACTCCCAGTGGTGCCGGTTGGCCAGCCCTAGCCAGGAGCGCTCCTTCCAAGCTTCATACGTGGTCGTGCAGAGGGCCCTCAAAGGCAGCTTTGTTTGCATTGTGAAAGTCTTTCAAGATCGCTGTCAGACGGGAGAAAAAAGGCGAACTTTAAGCCCGGTTCCCTAGGACATCTTCTGAAAAATGACTCATGCCCTCGTGCTGGAAGAGCCTGGTTTCTCCGAACCCTCCTCCCCCGACCTCCGTGGTCCTGCAAGCCATCAAGAACAGGGCTGGAGCACTGAGCGGTCGTGAGAGCCCAGCAAAACAGAGAAAGAAATGGGCTTCCCATTTTGGGGTGAAACCCTGGGTTCTTGCAGCTTCCCCTGAAATGGGTCCAGGTCACATGCTCAGTGTTGTCATGAAACTGCAGTCAGAGGTGGGGAAAGTCCAGATGTTTGTTCCCCATTAGAAAAGAAAGGGCCTTTCTCTTTACCTCATTTTCTAAACTGATCTCCCTAAACACAAACGAACAAACAAGTGACACTGGCCGGGAAAGCCCTTTTTTTTTTTTAGACCAAGCCCGATTTTCTCCGTTGGTCCTGGAAGCCTGAGGATGTCATAAGCAGAGCCACAGAATATTAGTTCATGTGGGCGAAGGAAAGGAGCAGCTGGCTAGGACTCCTGGCTCTGTGTGAAGGAAGCGTAAGAATCTTGTGGACAGACTTCAGCTTCACATCCCTGGCAAGTTTGACTCATTCGAACAAAAACAAAAGACTTAGTTGCTTTGTTTCTCTGGAGGTCCTGGTGACTTTGCAACCAAAACAAAAACAAAGGCCAGCTGGAGGCAAGCTGCCCGGGCCTGGGGGTGGCCTCCCAACCCGTTGCGGGGCGGGGGGTGGATTTTTCATGCCAGACACAGCTGAGATTTACATTGGCCGGACACGCAGGCACATCATTCACTTCCTTCCCCCAGTAGCGACCAGCACCACTCGGAATGTATCGCGCCCCTGTCATCTCGGCAGGACAAGGTCACAAGCAGGATATTCGTGGAATGTGGAGGAAGGGAAACCGCTGGGCTCCCGGTGCTTGCATATGTGTGCGGATTTGTTTGTTTCTGGGTCCTCCCCACGTTTCCCGCCAGGCTGGAATCTGATCCCCAGTCCCTTAAATCTGTAACTTCAAACAGTTGCTGAAGTGCATTGCCTCAGATTCCTGCTCTCTGACCACACACCCCCCCCCACCACCACCACACTTTCTTGTTTTTTTTTTCTGATGGCCTCCCGTGGCCCCTCAGGTTTCCTTTTCTGCTATTCTTTTATTTTTTTTTCTTAGAAGTTCAAAATTAACATGAACTTATTTGCTCATTTGACAAGTATTTATTGACCCCCCCTGTTTTATTTCAGGCAATCTTTCTGGCTCTGGGGATACGTCTACAAACAAGATAGATGAATCTCCATCCTTAAGGGCTTGATGACAGTGTGACAGAGCAGAAGGGTGTCCACTTCTCAGGGCCCATGTGATTATATTGGGCCCACTTGCAAAACCTCAAGTCCGCCCACAAAGCCCCTTTTGCCGTGTAACGTTACATACTCAGGCTGCAGGGCTTAGGACGTAGAAATCTTTGCCGGGGGTGTTGGGTAGGGGGAAGCAGTATTCTACACCGTCTTTTAAAAAAATGAACTGTTCTCGTTATTGTAATAACCTTAACATAAAAAAAAATCTTTTAACAATAAGAATAGAAAGAAATAGAACTCTACCCAGAAATCATTATTCGTTATTTCTAGAAAAATTGTTTCAAAGTAGGACCTGTTGCCACTCCTCAGGTCTTCAATCTGCTTTCTTTTTCTTCATGACATTTGTCACTATATCCATGTCTGTCTGTCTCCCCCATCTGGAAGTGTGCTCCTCTAGTGGCAGGTGCAGATCTCATTTCTCTCCGTGTTTCCAGCACCCGGCACGGTGCCTGGCACACAGTAGGTGCTTAAAGAATGCAGGAGAAATAGACACTCATTGTTTTGTGCTCAAAATTTGGTGATAAGAAGAGCTGGTGGTATTTATTTTCTTGAAGGGGTTTTTCTATTAAAGTCAGTAAAAAGTTTTAAAATCCCTTGTGTAATTCATAAAAACAGAGAGTAGAATGCTGGTTACCAGGGGCTGGGGGCTGAGGGGTGGATTTGGGGAGATGTTTAAGGATACAGACTTGTAACTAGTGGATAAATTAAGTTCTGGAGATCTAATGCACAGCAGAGTGAATATAGTCAACAATACTGAATTATAAACTATAAAGTTGCTAAGAGACTAGATCTTCATTGTTCTCACCACAAAATAGAAACAGTAATTAAGTAACAGGATAGAGGCGTTAGCTCACCTAGCTGGCAATCATATTGCAATATATAAATGTGTCAAAGCAAACTTGTGCACGTTGAACCCACACAACGTTATATGTCAATTGTGTCTCAATTTAAACTTGCCTGGAGTCACGCAGCCAGGTAAAGACACAATCAGGAATAGAGCAAGGATTTGGACCCAGCGAGTCTGTTGAGAAAGCCTCTGATGGCTACACCTTCACCTCTTGGAGCGCTCTGTTGCCTTTGTGACATTTCTCAGAGATGCCGACCTTGTGCACAGCCTTGAAAGGTGAATAGGGATCGGCCAGGTAGGTGTTGTGGGTGGGAAAAGGTGAGCGTTCGTAGGGGTGTTCCAGGTTCTAGAAGCAGCCTGAACTAAAGCCATGGGGCTGTGAACCCTCCTGGTGGGGATGGAGGTGTGGAGGAGGGCGTGGTCGGGGAGCGGGTCCCCACTTCTGTGGGCGGCACTGGAACGGAAAGCCAAGGGTCTGCACATGTGGCCTGGGCAGGCAGTCATAGGATCGCCGGCAGCCCCAGTGACCCCTGCTCGGGGCCCACGGGAAGGGCTGGCCGGCTTGGCCGTGATAGCCCCCAGACCATGCCAGGAAGCAGTTGCTGGCTGTCTTCTGGGTCAGCTTAAGAAAATCTGTCCTGTTCCACCGACTCTCCCCGATTTCCCCAAAGCCACTAATATGTGGACTTATCCACGATCTTCCTGTACCTAATCAGGCTTCTGGCCCCATCTCTTGGAGTAAGAAGTTGTTTACCAGCCCTGTGACAGAGCTGCACTTTTTATTTACCCTGAACTTGTAACCTTTCAGGTTGGGCTGCTAGGGTCTTAACATTTCTGAGGTCCCTGTATCCTGTTTGTGGACTGCAGGCATATCTCTCTGTAGCCTGAGAAGACCTTGCCTTAATTTGCCTTCAAAAAGAAGCCTTTCTCCTGTTTTACTCATTTTAAATGTCCCTCTTGGGGCTGATACAAGCCAATCTGCTGTCGCTTCGTCGCGGTGAGATGGCGAGAACTTCGGTGTTCCCAGTGATGGCAATGCATTATGCTTTGCCACTGCAGAGGCTGGGGTGACAGAATGGGGGTTTGCCGTGGTCATTGTTGTTTTAGTGCAGGAGCAGACAGCACTGACTTTGGGGAACCTGTCTTGCGCCGGGTGGTTTATAGTATCATCTTGCTCATTTTTTCTTTAATAAAATTCTACAGGCACTTAGACCCCAGAGCTTAAGAGCTTATCACTTTATAAAGAATCATTTAAGGTTTTCATAAAGATATTTGCCTCTCAAGCCTGTCAGTCATCTACCACTTTTCCATGCAGTCGTTTTGGCATTTTGAAATCTCAGAGTTGTCTTTGGGTTAGCAATTAATTACCTGAATGAATGATTGTTCTCTGCAAATGGAGACATTTCTGTGCCCCCTTTTGTCCACATGATTTAGAAAAATGTGCAATAAAGTTGGTCTCTGGGATCTTTCCTCTTTATTTCCTCCTCCACAGAAGGACCCGTTTAACTAAGCCATTTCCATATATGTCACTAGACATTCCTCAGATACCACGGGGGACTCTGTTTTTAAAAATCATCTTTGCCGTTAGAAACGTTAGGAATTTAAATAGCACTTGCTAATTTCCCTCCCTCTACTTGTCTATATCTGACTTTCTCAGAGATTTCTGCCTCATCCTTGGTATGTCTATTACAGGTAGAATTTACACCCACCAAGATTTAGAGCCACATACTTGCAGTTGTGCCTCAACTTTTACTTGGTTGTTGTTGATCGTCCCTCACCTGTAGAGTTGCCTTTCCCTGTGACATTCAAAAGGATGATGATAACAATGATGGTGCTTCACAGGCAGTCTGTACTTTCAGAGGTTGTTATCCAGCAACGTAGAACCCCAGCACTACCACCAAATTGCTGCTGTCAGTCCACTTTTTAATATTAATTCTGCAGCTTCTAATACCTGCACAGATATCCTAAACCTCAAGTGAATGGTTGATTTTGCAAGTTGTTTTGAAAATGAAATGATGGGGATGTTTGAGTTGGAAAGGCATGAGAGAAGTGTTAAAAGAACTTACTACTTGAGGGCAGAGAAGATAACAGAGATGCCAGCCCCGGCTCCCTTTCCCCTGCCCACCACCCTCACCTCCCTAAGGCTGGCAGAGTGAGTTACTACACCGCCTGGAACGGGATGCAGGTGTCTGGGTAAGGACCACCCAGAGCCCTTGGCTGGTACGTCAGGAAACTCAACCAAGCGTGCTTTCCCCGGGCCAGCTGTAAGGGGGCCTGGGAAGTTGGTTTTACAGCAGCTTTCTTTAATATTCCCTATAAATCAATTTTGGCTGGTTAGGATCGAGACTACTTTAGGGTAATTAATCTGCTCAGAGGCACTTGGAGGAAAATTACAGTCAAAATGCCAAAAGAAATTTTGGACCGCTCTGAGTTGATCTACCCACAGACATAACCAAGCCTTTTCCTTTGGGGGATTCATTGGTCTGCCTTTTGGATGTATTCAATTTCTTTAAAAATATTACCTCCCAATATATCTTTGAAACTTTGGTGATAACAGGACGTTTGCCTCTGAGCTCAAAATCTCTCTAAACGTTATGGTTAAAAGGGAAGCTTTCCCCTCTTATTTCAAACCCCTTTCTGCAACTAAGTATCTGTCCTCTTGTTTGTTCTTAGGATGGTCCAGAGTCTGCGGGAGGAAACCGGATGAAGCAGGAGAGCGCGTGGCTGTTCAGGCTGTGGTACAGCTTTGACCACAAGTATCCTTTTAAGTGGCTTCCCTGTCTTTGTGAAACGGTGATGGAATCCTCTTGCTGAGTTGTCAGTGAATGACTTCTGATGAGGAAGGAAAGACGTGTGCTTGCTGCAGGTATCGTCGGTCCTCTCTGGGGACACGTGCAATGATCATTCAACCACAGGTAGCTGTGACGAGCAGCTCTCTGGCCGAGAGGAAAGATTGCACATCATTAGGACAGCCAGCCCACAGCCTGGGAGACTCATGTGGCTCTTCAGAGCTTTGTGTCCAAGGGAAATATGCCTACGGAGGTGAATTAGTTAAAAAGACACTTGAACCAAGCTGTGGTCAGGAAGGGAAGTGGAGCTTGGCCAGTTCATCCATGTGGGGAGAATAATTCTTATTGGCTAAACCAAGTCTGGCTAAGTCTGATCCTGGCCTTACCTGGACCACATGCAGGCCAGACTCGGTTCCAGTAGATTCACTTGGTCCCAGGTGAAAATTAAAAACAAAAAAGCTAACCGTTCATGGTTTCTTAAATTGACATAGTGATCAAATGGGCAGGTAGCTTATATATGGTCTTTGGAGACTTCGAAAATGTTTAAAAATTGTTATTGAAGTATAAAATACACATAGGAAAGTACATAGATCATGAGTGCTCATAAGTGCTCAGCACTCATTATTTCAAAATAGCTACACTCATTTAATACCAAACAGGTCATGAAACACAAAATTACCAGTTCCCCCTCATGCCACAGCCCAGTTACTACCTCTTTCTCCTTCCCAAACGTAACCACTCTCCTACCTCCCAGCAACACTGAATAATTTTACCTGTTTTTGAACTTTGTATAAATGGAATTATAGAGTATATGTACTTTAGTGTCTGGTTTGCCTGGCTTGACATCATTTGTGGCGTGAGTCATCCCTGTTGTCACGTGTAGCTCTAGTTCATCTGTCTTCATGGCTGTATAGTATTTCACGACATTCATAATTTATTTATCATCCTATTGTTGAACGTGGACATTGTTTCTAATTAGGAGCTACTATGGAAAATAGTGCTGTGAACATTCTTACATATGTCTTTTGGTGCCTGTTTACATATATTTTTGTTGGGAATATAGCCAGGAATGAAATTGCTGGATCACAGGAC